AAGAAAGAAAGAAAGAAAGAAAGAAAGAAAGAAAGAAAGAAAGAAAGAAAGAAAGGAAAGGAAAGGAAGGAAGGAAGGAAGGAAGGAAGGAAGGAAGGAAGGAAGGAAGGGAAAGAAAGAAAGAAAGGAAGGAAGGAAAGAAAGAAAGAAAGAAAGAAAGAAAGAAAAGAAAGAAAGAAAGAAAGAAAGAAAGAAGAAAGAAAGAAAGAAAAGAAAGAAAGAAAGAAAAGAAAGAAAGAAAGAATGAATAGCCAAGGGAGGAGTAAGAATCCCACATAGTCCTACCATCAAAAATGATATTATGTTTCTTTACCATCTTTTACCATGTGTGTTTTACATGTTTGTTAAACATTGTGTTGTATAAATAATTTTATATCCTGGATGGTTAGATGGGAACTGAGCCAGTTACAGCTGAAACCTGAACGTTGAGGGCCTGTATAATCTTGAGCAGAGGTGGTAGAAAGGGTACTGTAAGGTGAGAAAATAGAACTGTAGGCTGATGGGTAATGAGATGGGAACCTTAATGAAGAGTATCCACATGCTCAAGATAAATAAGTAACTTTCTCAGCTAATTATATCATTTTTCTCTCTCTCTTTTTTCTTTTTGGCTGCGTTTGGGTTTTTGTTGCGGTGCGTGGGCTTCTCATTGTGGTGGCTTCTCTTGTTGCAGAGCACAGGCTCTAGGCGCGCGGGCTTCCGTGGTTGCAGCACACGGGCTCAGTAGTTGCAGTGTGCAGGCCCTACAGCATGCAGGCTTCAGTAATTGCAGCACGTGGGCTCAGTAGTTGTGACATGCAGGCTTTAGGGCGCACGGGCTTAGTTGCTCCTCAGCATGTGGGATCTTCCCGGACCAGGGATCAAACCCATGTCCCCTGCATTGGCAGGTGGATTCTTAACCACTGCACCACCAGGGAAGTCCCTCATTTTTCTCTTTTAATTATCAGCATTATGTTTTCTCTCTTCTTTTTAAATTACTAAGGTATAATATTTTAGCTATAAATTAGGTTAAATTATTAAGGTTTTGTTTAGCAAGACTAGTAATGTACCATTTGTAACATTGTTTTATTGGGAGTCTAAAGCAAATTAATTTTGGAATACAGCCCATTTGTCATTTGTAATTGCTTGGGTATTTGTGCATGGGTGGGCGTGTACATGATTGTGGCTATATCAATACAGATACATTTATGTCAGTACTTTAAGTTCATATATGTATGTATATAGAGTCATATATACCCTATTCATTTTTTAAATTGTGGTGAAATACGTATAAAATTTACCATTTTTAAGAGTGAGTTTCAGTGGCATTAAGTACATTCATATTGTTGGATAATATGTGCATCTCTAGATGCATCTGTGAAACTACTTTGCTATTTCTTCTTAAATATAAATTCTAATGAATTTATATTATATCTGTGCTTTAAGTACCATGTTGTCTTAAAATTTGAAATGATTTATTTTAATGTTTCTGCTATTTTTTTAAGCCTACAGATGAATTTTCAGATCTGCCTCTTCGAGTAGCAGAAATTACTAAAGAACAAAGACTACGAAGAGAAAGCCAGTACCAGGAGAATCGCAGCAGTATAGTAGTAACAAATGGTGGAGGTAAACATGATTCCTGACGACATCCAGAGTCTTTATAATCTCTCTGACTTTTTAAGTGGCCTTTTCACATCCACTCCTTTTATCTGTGTATCTGTAGCTTCTTCCAGTCTTTCTTTAAAGACCTCTCTCCTCTTCTCATCTGATTAGAAAAAAAATGTTTTCTATTAGGGTTAAGTTTCAGTTTCTCTGTTTCAGACTTGCAATTAAAATACAATGTTTTTCCCTTATTCTTATTTGGGAGGAAACTTTACTAAAGACAGTTTACCTGGAATAGATCTTTGTTAATCTTGATTAACCATGATCTTCTTTGAAGTACTATTCTCTTTTTTTTTGCGGTACGCGGGCCTCTCACTGTTGTGGCCTCTCCTGTTGCGGAGCATAGGCTCCGGACGCGCAGGCTCAGCGGCCATGGCTCACGGGCCCAGCCGCGCCACGGCATGTGGGATCTTCCCGGACCGGGGCACGAACCCATGTCCCCTGCATCAGCAGGCGGACTCTCAACCACTGCACCACCAGGGAAGCCCTATATTCTCCTTTTTAAAGATTCTCTTTGTGGTCATTATTTGACCTCTTTTAGGAATTCAGTGCATTTCTTGATGTCTACCTTTTCTTTCATCTGGAATTGTGCTCTTCATGGGCATCTGAATCCAAGTTTTCCTTATTTTGGTATTTTAAAATTTGTAATTTAAATTAAAAAAATTTTTTTGATTTATTTTTATAGTTCATTAACAAACAGAGCTCTTTCTGCTTTCTTGTGCTTCTGAAGCAGACTCTTGATTTTAGCATTCCATTCAATATTGCTTTAGTTTGAATTACCAAATCCTAATGTTTAAATTTTAAGGGCCAGCTATAAGGGAGAAATGACTTTGATTTTCCAGAAATCTATTATATTATGTAAGAAGACCTTTCATCTCTGAATGATGAGTTCAATTAAATGGTTTGCCCCGCCTTTTTTTCCTTACCATCTTATATTCTTTTTTTACTCCTGTCACTTACCATTTCAGTACTTTTCATTTTAATCTTGCTTTCGTATGAGATATCTTTCCCATTGGTTCATTTCAGACTTAAAATAATCTCTAGATCTGCGCCACTAGCCACATGTGGTTATTGAGCATTTGAAATATGGCTTTTCTGAATTGAGCTGTACTATAAATATAAAACACACATCAAATTTTAAGCCTTTGCATGAGAAAGAGAATGTAAAACATCAATAATACTTTATATTGATTATATGTTATAATATTTTAAATATATTGAACAAAATAAAATATATTATTAAAATTAATGTCACCTTTTCTTTTGACTTTTTTATGTGGCTACTAGATAATTTAAAATTACATGTGTGGTTCACTTTCATAGCTTACGTTCTATTTCTCTTGGATAGCACTGGTCTAGACAGCATGAAAAAGTGATGCTGCTTTCTTGGGAGATAGTTATAAAATGAACTGTTGATTTAGTCACACAAGTTGTAGCACATTGGAAAAATGCATTTATGTACCTGGTTTCTAACACGGGTGTAGACTTAAAACCTTTTCAGCCTTTTATCTATTTATATAATTATGATAAGTCAATTCATTTTTATATTAACTGCTGTTATGGAATTATTTAGAAATAATTGAGTCAGAAAACTAAATTGAGAAATAGACTTCTTCAAATTTACTATTCCCAGCAACTGCAACTTTTAGGCAGCCTGTAGACCGCCGTACAATAATGGCTGGGAGTTAATACATCTCTGGAGAAACTGTCTTAGTAGTAAGTTTTTTTTTTCTAGTGTGCCATTTAAAGTGGCTTTTAAAAATAGTTATTTTTAAACTTAAAAACAAATTAATGGGGTGCACCCAAGTGTGTTACAAGAAATAATGATGTGGCTATATGTTATTTATGTGCTTCTCCTCACCCCAGAGCATTTTGAGAAGCAAAAATTCCTCAAATGATTTCCTTCCATCCACAGACTGCTACAAAATATCTGCAATACTGACCTCTAGAAAATAATTTTCTAAATGGGAAAATAAATCTTGTTCTAGTTATGGACAGCAGTTACAGGAAAGGGAACAGTCATCAGTATCTACTTCTTTATCACCAGGTCCACTTTCCTCCTGTCTTTTCACTTTTATTTTGAGTTGATTGTGTTAGGTTTTCTGCCTCCCAGCTCTTCAAAGAGGTATGATTAAGCCCCAAACCTAAAACATGCAAAAAAAAAAAAAAAAAAAACTAAAAGAATATATATTTTCCGATTTTAAAAAATTATTCTTCTTATCTGTCTCACAAACTCAAACTGTCTTGTTTAAGATAGTCAAGAGCTGTCCAAAGAAAAAAGAAATATTAGAGGTCTGTTTTCCAATAATTACCATAAACTACTGCATTCTTTATAGTGAATTAGGACTAAGATTTTTTCTTTAGCCTATTTTTGTGAGTGGCCATGGACTAAATAATAAAGACTTATGTAATTTAAACTTATTCCTCCCAGTTTCAGAATAGAAAATGTTAAGGAAAAGGAAAGAATGCAATTCAGTGTTTTTTTGGCTATCTAATTTGAATGTTTTTTCTGGTGTCTGTGTGTGTATGTGTCGTATGAACAGTGGAACATGATCTGGATCAGATTGACTATATTGACAGCTGTACTGCAGAGGAAGAAGAGGAAGAAGTGAGACCACCCAAGGGCCTGGACTCAGACAGCCTCAGTTCACAGTTTATGGCATATATTGAACAACGGCGAATCTCTCATGAGGTAGTATACACACTTAAGCTTAAATTTTTTGCTATCCCCTAGTAAAAACAGTTTATGACAGTATATATTTCTATCATATCAGTGACTTGTTGGTTTAGGCTTAATTATTTGTTATATTATATTTAGTTCCAATTTTATTACTGAGTTTTTCAGATTTATTTTTAAAATCAGACAATACTCTCAAGTAAAGTTTAGGTTTATTTTTCAAATAAACATACAGATTTCAGAATTTTGAAGAAGGAATAAAAGAAGTCCTAAGAGTATCCTATGCCTTGGAAGAAAATGCAGAGGAATATGATGCTTTTCATTGTTGTTCTTATTGTTTTTTTGTTGTTATTAACTGGTAAATCATAGTTTGATCAGTAAGAACTGAACCAAACTGCTGACTTTTGGAGCAACATACAAACTTAACCATAGAATTTTCATGATGAGCTTAATTATATTGGCGCTTTTATGTGAAGTCACACAGAATATAAATTGTTTGCCATTAAAATTCTTGGATGTCTCTTATAGTGGAGCATTGAGTTGCCTTAGAAAACAAGTGAGCATTCAGCCCACTGCAGAATCTCTGCCAATTCCCCAAGGGTCTCAAGTAGAAATAGCATTCTTCAGTGTATCTAGTCAGCATAATAAAATGGCTGCACTTCAGTGTGTGTGATGTTAATGTCTGGAGTTGGTCCCAGGCTTTGAGCAGGGATTATTTGAGAAACACTTGGGGCATTTTTGGAGAATGATGTATTTAGTCTTTTAGAAATAGCGAATAGTCACTTCAAGTGGGACATGTTATAGAGTGTTATTATCATTCTTTAAAAAAAAAAAAAAACCCTTGGTCTTCCTGTCTGAAGGCTTTTTTTTTTTTTTTTTTTTCCCTGCAGTACGTGGGTCTCTCACCGCCGTGGCCCCTCCCATTGCGGAGCACAGGCTCCGGACGCGCAGGCCCAGCGGCCACGGCCCACGGGCCCAGCCGCTCCGCGGCACGCGGGATCCTCCCGGACCGGGGCACGAACCCGCGTCCCCTGCATCGGCAGGCGGACTCCCAACAACTGCGCCACCAGGGAAGCCCCTGAAGGCTTTTGAACACAGTATTTTTTGTTGGTGTTCAAATGACATTCTTGTATTTAAAGTTAGATAAAGTTATGTACAGTATTTCCCCCACCCCATATCCACAGGGTGTACGTTCTAAGACCCCTAGTGGATGGTTGCCTGAAACCACGGATGGTACTGAGACCTATATGTACTATGTTTTTTCTTATACATACACACCTAGGATAAAGTTTAATTTATAAATTAGTCACAGTAAGAGATTAAGAATAATAACTAATAATAAAATAGAAAAATTATAACAATATACTGTAACAAGTTATATGAATGTTGTTTCTCTCTCTCGAAATATTTCATTGTACAAATTTAATGCCTCTTCCATCTTAACTAAGCATTTATTTATCACATTCTGTGACTGTAACTTTTGCAGTTTGAGGTGCAACAGCAAAACTAGCATGTATGTCTTTTTCCTTCACAATTTCACAGATAGAAGATTTCTTCTTACTATAGATCTCACCTCAGCATACAATTTCTTTTCTTTCCTTATTAATTCAAGAACTTTCACCTTTTCACTTAAAGGAGGCACTTTATGACTTCTCTTCAGCATATTCGAATTGCCAACGTCACTACTTTTGCACTTGGGGCCATTATTAAGTAAAATAGGCACTGCTGTACTGAGACAGTCAATCTGTTAACCAAGAGAGACTAACTGAGCCGGCTGCTAACGGACTAACAGGCAGGATACTCTGGACAAAGAGACGATTTACAGCCCAGGTGGGATGGAGCGGGACAGCTTGAGATTTCATCAGAACAGCGTGCAATTTAAAACTTATGAATTGTTTATTTCTGAAGTTATCCGTTTAATATTTTTGGAACATGGTTGACTGTGGGTGACTGAAACCTCGAAAAGTGAAACCAGAAGATAAAGTGAACTACTGTAAATCAAAGTCCTGCAGCCTACAGATAGCAGTGTGTACCTGTGATTAATGAAACTACTTGTGGTTCAGGCTATAAGCACTTCTGCTAGAGCAGAGGGCAACTACTTTTGCAATAAAGCTTAAGTTAACAAGGCACATTATAATCTAAAAGGGAATCCTTTTTCTTGTGGTCTTTCTCTTTGAGCATTTTATTGTTAATTAGGCTGTGTAGGTGAGGTATTTCTCCTAAAAGTGAAAATGCACGTTATGCTACTGATGAAAAATTGTAGTATCATTTCTTTAATCCATTATATTGGCTAATTTGTAATAAGTTTTTTTATTCCATCTACCTACTATATATAGTAGTTTTTATGATTCTGTCATAAGGCTCTTTATGGCTTCTGTGTCATAAGGCTTTCTAAAGTTTGGCACCTATAAAAATAAAATAAAGCAGTATTATTTTAAATGGTTTGATAACCAGTGAAGAAATACTTTTTATATTCTTGGATACTACCTAAACATGGGTTGTTAAAAACAATTTGAGATTTTAAACACTCTGCTATTGTTTAATTTTATCATAATGCCTGTCACATACATAGTGATACTGTGATAAATAAGGTATGACTTATATTTATAGACTATGACATATTTATTTTTTAAATTAAACCAATGTTACATTCATTTTGTCATGAAAATTTCATGTACCCCTTGCAATAATTTTAGGTAATTGCAGTATTGTAAAACCAGGGTGATAAGTCACTGATGTTAACATACTAGGAGAGATTTTTGTTTACTTAAAAAGTCATACTCACTGAAATTAGAGTAATTATTCTCTCATCAAGATTCTAGAATTGTATCTCATTTAATATGATCATTATGCCCAGACTTTACGGGAGTCAGCTTTAGCCCTTTGGAGTAACTCACCAAAGAAGATTTTCTAGTTATTTGTGATGTACCTATTTCTTGGAGATAGACTGTAAATAGTTTTACATTTGATTTTTTTTTTTGGATAAGTTTTTTTTTCCCCTTCCAGAATACCCATTTTGATGATTATTTTTGGTGTTGAAGTAAGATTATATTATTTTTATAGATTCTCATTTGACAAAATATGTGGTGTGATATCCCATGAGCCTCTACCTTTGATTTATAATTTTATTTTTCAGTATATAGTCCATATAACTTAAGCCAGTTTAATTTTCTTTGGTAATGTTTTTTTAAATGACCTTTACCCTTCAGTTTATAAATAAATGGCCACTATTTCTCTTTTAATTAATATCATATTTTACCATAAATAGAAATTACTTTTTGCTTTATCTTGGTATTCCACCAGCATACCCAGGACTATTTGTCTGACTAACATAAGTAACAATTTATGATGATGAAGAAGTAAAGAAATGTAATCTCCCCAGTGAACTTCCTATTACTAGAAATATTCAAGAGAGGCTGAGCAAAAGTCACGGTAGGGTTGGTAGGAATTCCTGTTCTAGATGGAAGTTTGTACTAGATGACCTCTAAGATCCTTTTCAACTTTCACATCTTATCATCTAGTAAATATTACTATGTGGTCATTATAATTCATAAAATACAGTGTGAAGAAAATCTGCTTTTTTTAAAATAAATGTTTTTGGATTGTGGACAGTTTTGTGTTTACCAAAGCAGTAATACAGCCTATAATGCTTTTAAACATGAAAATTCACATTTGAAGTTTCTGTTAAAATATTTTTAGTGTAGTATACAGATCCCTAAATGCCAAGTTGAATATGAACTGTGTAATTACACTTTTCTGGATACATGTGGATACATGTGTTAAATTGATCTGTTTTTCTTTTTTTGGCCTAGGGTTCACCAGTAAAGCCAGTACCCATGAGGGAATTTCAAAAAACAGAAGACACGAGAAGATATTCACATCAAAACAGGTTTGAAAAACCAATTCTACTTATTTCTTTCTGTCTTAAAACTCAGTAATTAGGTAATGAAATGATTTTGGTTTTGTGTAGATCTGTGTATAATGAAGATGTTTAGATACTACGTGTTTTAAATATGATGTATTTAGAGCTAAGTGAAATGTACCTTTGTGCTTAGGTAATAGAAAAAGAAGTAAAATTGATTTATTCATTCTAAATTCAGATCACCTAAACCATTACCTGTATAATTATTTGATTTGAAGATACTTAGTAGCAGTGAGATTTTATAGTGATGTGTCTGGATTTATGCATAAAGAGGGCTAAATGAATTTCCAGAGTCCTGCAATTACTTTACTTAAACTTTTGATTAGAAACAGAGCCACAGATGGAGACAGCGATATATTCCTCATTCCTATCTCAATTGCAGTGATGTTTTATCTACAATTAGTGCCTTACACAATATTTCTAAACTTAGCTTGGCCATTTAGAGTACTGCTTCTTCTTTTTTTTTTCAAGAGTACTGCTTCTTATCCTTGAATTCCAAAAAGTTTCTTATCATAAACTGCATGACAATAGTTGAAAAATTCCCAGCCTTTGGTTTTTTGCTTCCTTTCTGTTTTTATGAAATCTTAAAGTGGTAGACTTGATATGCCTATTCTTTAACAACAGTAAATTTACTGTGTAGATAGTGTCATACATCATTCTTTACTTATACTTGACAGGATATTGAAGTTCTTTAGGAGACTGAAATATAGATGGACAAAGAAAATGTAGGGAGAATAATGAAAGAAGTCTTATAACTTGGACTTTTTAGTCTTATTGGTTAGTTCATGGCGATTTAGTTACATTTCATATCTTTGAAATTTATCTCAAAATAGCTTTTTAGTTACCATGTGTCCTTATATTGAAAGTGTGGTCATTTGGGATTCCAGTGTCATGCAAGGATTTCTTGTTACATTTCCCCATGGGGGGGGACCTCAGGTTTATCTTTTGTCCTTCCTGCCTCCTGTATCCATAATAAGTAAAGCCCAAGATTCCCAGGATATGATACACCCACCCTCAACGTGAAAGCCAGCTTTTTTTTTTTAACATCTTTATTGGAGTATAATTGCTTTACAATTTTGTGTTAGTTTCTGCTATATAACAAAGTGAATCAGTTATATATATATACATATATCCCCATATCTCTTCCCTCTTGCGTCTCCCTGCCATCCTCCCTATCCCACCCCTCTAGGTGGTCACAAAGCAGCATAAGCTGATCTCCCTGTGCCATGCAGCTGCTTCCCACTAGCTACCTGTTTTACATTTGGTAGTGTATGTATGTCAACGTAAATGCTACTCTCTCACTTTGTCCCATCTTCCCCTTCCCACACCGCCACCCCCGTGTCCTCAAGTCCATTCTCTACGTCTGCGTCTTTATTCCTGTCCTGCCCCTAGGTTCATGAGAACCATATTTTTTTTAGATTCCGTATATATGTGTTAGCATACAGTATGTGTCTTTCTGACTTACTTCATTCTGTATGACAGACTCTAGGTCCATCCATCTCACTACAAATAACTCAATTTCGTTTCTTTTTATGGCTGAGTAATATTCCATTGTATATATGTGCCACATCTTCTTTATCCACTCATCTGTCGATGGACACTTAGGTTGCTTCCATGTCCTGGCTATTGTAAATAGAGCTGCAGTGAACACTGTGGTACATGACTCTTTGGGAATTATGGTTTTCTCAGGGTATATGCCCAGTGGGATTGCTGGGTCATACAGTAGTTCTATTTTTAGTTTTTTAAGGAACCTCCTTACAGTTCTCCATAGTGGCTGTATCAATTTACATTCCCACCAACAGTGCAAGAGGGTTCCCTTTTCTCTACACCCTCTCCAGCATTTATTGTTTGTAGTTTTTTTTATTTATTTTTATTTTTAAATTTTTGGCTGCATTGGGTCTTCATTTCTACACGCGGGCTTTCTCTAGTTGCAGCGAGTGTGGGCTACTCTTCGTTGCGGTGTGTGGGCTTCTCATGGCAATGGCTTCTCTTGTTGCAGAGCACAGGCTATAGGCATGCAGGCTTCAGTACTTGTGGCGCGCAGGCTCAGTAGTTGTGGCTCGCGGGCTGTAGAGCACAGGCTCAGTAGTTGTGATGCACAGGCTTAGTTGCTCCGCGGCATGTGGGATCTTCCTGGACCAGGGCTCGAACCCATGTCCCCTGCATTGGCAGGTGGATGCTTAACCACTGCACCACCAGGGAAACCCCTGTAATTTTTTTTGATAATGGCCATTCTGACTGGTGTGAGGTGATACCTCATTGTAGTTTTGATTTGCATTTCTCTAATGATTAATGATGTTGAGCATCCTTTCATGTGTTTGTTGGCAACCTGTATATCTTCTTTGGAGAAATGTCTATTTAGGTCTTCTGCATATTTTTGGACTGGGCTTCTTGTTTTTGTGAAATTGAGCTGCATGACCTGCTTGTATATTTGGGAGATTAATCTTTTGTCATTTGCTTCATTTGCAAATATTTTCTCCCATTCTGAGGGCTGTCTTTTCGTCTTGTTTGTAGTCTCCTTTGCTGTGCAAAAGCTTTTAAGTTTCATTAGGTCCCATTTGTTTATTTTGGTTTTTATTTCCATTACTCTAGGAGGTGGGTCAAAAAGGATCTTGCTGTGATTTATGTCATTGAGTGTTTTGCCTATGTTTTCCTCTAAGAGTTTTATAGTGTCTGGCCTTACATTTAGGTCTATAATCCACTTGGAGTTTATTTTTGTGTATGGTGTTAGGAAGTATTCTAATTTCATTCTTTTACATGTAGCTGTCCAGTTTTCCCAGCACAATTTATTGAAGAGGCTGTCTTTTCTCCATTGTATATTCTTTCCTCCTTTGTCAAAGATAAGGTGACCATATGTGTGTGGGTTTATCTCTGGGCCTTCTTTCCTGTTCCATTGATCTATATTTCTGTTTTTGTGCCAGTTACCATACTGTCTTAATTAATGTAGCTTTGTCGTATAGTCTGAAGTCAGGGAGCCTGATTCTTCCATCTCTGTTTTTGTTTCTTAAGATTGCTTTGGCTATTCGGGGTCTTTTGTGTTTCCATACAAATTGTAAAATTTTCTGTTCTAGTTCTGTGAAAAATGCCATTGGTAGTTTGATAGGGATTGCATTGAATCTGTAGATTGCCTTGGGTAGTATAGTCATTTTCACAGTATTGATTCTTCCAATCCAGTAACATGGTATATCTCTCCATCTGTTGTATTGTCTTTGATTTCTTTCATCAGTGTCTTATAGTTTTCTGCATATACGTCTTTTGTCTCCTTAGGTAGGTTTATTCCTAGGTATTTTATTCTTTTTGTTGCAGTGGTAAATGGGAGTGTTTCCTTAGTTTCTCTTTCAGATTTTTCATTGTTAGTGTATAGGAATGCAAGAGATTTCTGTGCATTAATTTTGTAGCCTGCTACTTTACCAAATTCATTGATTAGCTCTAGTAGTTTTCTGGTAGAATCTTTAGGATTCTCTATGTATTGCATCATGTCATCTGCAAAAGTGACAGTTTTACTTCTTTTCCGATTTGGATTACTTTTACTTTTATTTCTTTTTCTTCTCGAATTGCCGTGGCTAAAACTTCCCAAGCTATGTTGAATAATAGTGGTGAGAGTGGGCACCCTTGTCTTGTTCCTGATCTTAGAGGAAATGGTTTGTTTTTCACCACTGAGAAAGATGTTGACTGTGGTTTAGTCATATATGGCCTTTATTATGTTGATGTAGTTTCCCTCTGTGCCCACCTTCTGTAGAGTTTTTATCATAAATGGGTGTTGAATTTTATCAAAAGCTTTTTCTGCATATGTTGAGCTTATCATATGGTTTTTATCCATTCATTTGTTAATGTGGTGTATCACATTGATTGATTTGTGTATACTGAAGAATCCTTGCATTCCTGGAATAAACCCCACTTGATCATAGTGTATGATCCTTTTAATGTGCTGTTGGATTCTGTTTGCTAGTATTTTGTTGAGGATTTTTGCATCTATGTTCATCAGTGATATTGGCCTGTAATTTTCTTTTTTTGTAGTATCTTTGTCTGGTTTTGGTATCAGGGTGATGGTGGCCTCGTAGAGTGAGTTTGGGAGTGTTCTTCCCTCTGCTATATTTTGGAAGAGTTTGAGAAGGATAGGTGTTAGCTCTTCTCTAAATGTTTGATAGAATTCACCTGTGAAGCCACCTTATCCTGGGCTTTTGTTTGTTGGAAGATTTTTAATCACAGTTTCAATTTTAGTGTTTGTGATTGGTCTGTTCATATTTTCTGTTTCTTCCTGTTCAGTCTTGGAAGGTTGTACTTTTCTAAGAATTTGTCCGTTTCTTCCAGGTTGTCCTATTTTTATTGGCATATAGTTGTTTGTAGTCATCTCTCATGATCCTTTGTATTTCTGCAGTGTCGTTACTTCTTTTTCATTTCTGATTCTGTTGATTTGAGTCTTCTCCCTTTTTTTCTTGATGAGTCTGGCTAATGGTTTATCAATTTTGTTTATCCTCTCAAAGAACCAGCTTTTAGTTTTATTGATCTTTGCTATTGTTTCCTTCATTTCTTTTTCATTTATTTCTGATCTGATCTTTATGATTTCTTTCCTTCTGCTAACTTTGGGTTTTTTTCGTTCTTCTTTCTCTAATAGCTTTAGGTGTAAGATTAGTTTGTTTATTTGAGATTTTTCTTGTGTCTTGAGGTAGGATTGTATTGCTATAAACTTCCCTCTTAGAACTGCTTTTGCTGCATCCCTTAGGTTTTGGGTTGTCGTGCTTTCACTGTCATTTGTTTCTAGGTATTTTTTTATTTCCTCTTTGATTTCTTCAGCAATCTCTTGGTTATTTAGTAGTGTATTGTTTAGCCTCCACGTGTTTGTATTTTTTACAGTTTTTTCCTGTAATTGCTATCTAGTTTCATAGCGTTGTGGTCAGATGAGATACTTGATACGATTTCAGTTTTCTTAAATTTACTGACTGAAAGCCAGCTTTTTGCTCAGTTGCCTTATATATTAGTTTTCTAGTGCTTATATAACAAATTACCACAAATTTAGTAGCTTAAAACATACCTATTTATTATATTACAGTTGTGAGAGAGAGAAGTCTGGGCAGCCTTCTTTTGTTCTCTGCTTACGGCCTCACAAGGCCAAAGTCAAAGTGTTGGATGGCCTGGATTCTTATCTGGAGATCCCTGGAGAATCCACCTCCCAGCTCATATAGGTTGCTGGCAGAATTCAGTTCCATGCAGTTATTGACTGATGCAGTTAGTGTCACACATACTGCTGGTAGGTTCAGTAAGGTGAGGGCTGAGAAATAACTGTTGGATTTGGACATGTAAAGCCTCAGACTTGAAGAGAGCAGTTTTCAGTGACGTTGTGAGGACAGATCCAGATTGGTGTGGGTTCAAAGCAGAATGGGATGAAATGAAGTAGAAACAATGGATTTAACCAGCTTTTTAAGGAGGTTTTGGTATAAAACGAGAGTAAAGAAATGGGAGTAGAAAGAAGGTGTATATTAAAAGGTTTTGCTTGAAAAGCATTATTAAAACATAGTGTTCAAATCAGGGCACATAAACCCACTTGAGATGGGTTTACATGGTCCTTTCTGGGTTTTTTGGTGTAGTTTATCTACAGATGGCCAATAAAAGCTATAGGAAATGTTAACAGTGAAATTAGTAGTTTGGGACAAATTTGCAGTTAATGCCAGTTATTCTTCTCCCAGACTAGTATATAGTACTGGAGTCACTCATGTCTCATTATTGGTTATATCCCAGTTAAAAGTCTTACCCTACCAACCCACTCTCCTCCTCTTATCTTGTCAGACTCGTGACTGAGGATGCACTGATGAGGAGTGCTAGGATAAAGGTTGACAAGGATTAGTAGAAAGTTAAGGAAGTTTTTCCCTAGCTTTACCATTATTTTAAACCTTGTGTAGGAAGTTATTAAGTAATTTATTTGGTAGTTATTTATTCTGTTCCTTTTAAAAATTATAAACATAATTTATTCTGTCAAAAGTTTTTTTTAATGGCTAGAAATTTTTTTTAAAAAAGAATTTTTTGAAAACTTCAAAGATTTGGAACCAATATAAGAAAAAAATGTGGCATGAAAGAGATAGTAGAATAGCTTAAGTTTTTGGTTTCTTACATATTATATTTTTAAAATTCAGGAATTACAACAGGGAATATATATCAAAGTATAAGAGTTAGCACTGATAAAACTGAGAAGCAAGTTTTACTGTTTTTTTTAAGCATCAAATCAGGTTTCATGTTTTTCTAAAAGATAAAAATCAACAAAATCTTTACTTTTGTTGTTAAAATTGCTTCTTCAATTAAAATGGGAGTAGGAGTGCTTTAAACGTGCAGTTACAGGTTCTGTAGTATTCCAGATTTCTGCTGATAAAATGGCTTTGTGTATAAACCATCTCCATTTACATGTATCTTATTTCAGTCATGATAGTAAAGAAGATTGTAGTACTTAGTGTGCTGTAAAGAAACGATATTGTTTGAGAAGTGATCTCAAATAACCATATTGTCAGCACTGGCTGACATAGACAGTTGTTAGCTATCTGTAGCTTCATCAGTGATATCATCACATGAAATGTGAGTTGGAGACATCAGGTGTTCCTGTAGCTTAATTTAGTGACTTGGGCTTAAGTTTACAAAATGCAATCGGTCTTTCAGTGCTGAGCAGACAGTTTGCCTGCTGATTAATAGAAAGCTGCATTAACAATAAAATTCCACTTGTCTTTTATCTATCTGTCTGTCTTATCAAAGAGTTTTTTCTTTCCTTTTTTTCTTTTTTGGGTCAGGGTTCCAGCTGAGCCATCTTCTCTCTTATCACTATCACCAAGTCATAATCAGGTAAAAACATTTTTTTCAGTTTTAGTTTGTGGGTTTTTTTAAATTAAGATGGTTTTCTTCTTTTATAATACTTAAATTACAGTTAATTGCCAAATATCTATAAATTTCATTACCTGTCTCTTCAGTCTACAGTTAATATAATATGTGCACCTTATGCTGGTAACAGTGTTTTTAGACACCAGACAGAAAATAAGTCTTTATAATACATGTAAGAGCACAGTGCAAAGATGGGAAAAGATTAGCAATAAACACATCTGAAGAAATGCTAGGTGACTGCAAAGTAAAAGTTGCTTGGGTCAGCAGTAGTTTCCCAAATTGATAAAGAATATTGGTAAGTTGATCTTTATCGCTACTTGCATATGCAAAATGATACTTTTGTTCTAGTTTTCACATGCAGACTTCGAACTTCATCGGAGAAGAGAACAATTAATAGAACGTACTCGGAGAGAGGCACAACTTGCTGCCCTACAGTATGAGGAAGAGAAAATAAGGACCAAGCAGATTCAAAGAGATGCTGTCCTGGACTTTGTCAAGGTGAGTCATTTGGATTCATTGAATGATATTCCTAAAGTTTCTTAGAAGTAAGTGCTTATTTGTTTTTCTGAGGATGTCAGGTTTTATTGTCTTAGTAAAATAAAAAAAAGAGTTGATATCTTAATTATAAGAATTCTCGAGTAAATAGTATAACTGTCTCCTGTTTGTGATTAGATTAATTGTCCTCATATGTAGATAGGCTTGACGACAATCAGAAGTGATTGATCTTGCTTTTAGGACAATGATAGTCTCTACTCTTAACTACCTGTCTATCGTTAGACATATCACTTTACTGTCCAGCTGCCATTTCCTAAGTCTCTAGTGCATCAAGAAAGTGAAAATGCTATATGTAAACTGTAAAGTGCCATGCAAATATAAACTGTTGTTATCTGAACCTATCACTGACTTCCTTACCTCTAGGGAATACCAAAAATTTGCAAGGCTCACAGGTTTAATACTTTAGTCATCTTTGGTTCTTTACTTTCTGTTTTCTCCACATCTACTCAATTAACAACCCCTGTTAATACTTCTTTTTTTAATCAGCCTCTATAGTTGCCTCTAAACCTGGTTCGATTTTTTGCCTGTGTTACTTAAGTCTTTTTGTTCTGAAATCACCTTGGAATTTTTTCTTTATAGTTAAATAATTATTTATATTTTTGCTTGTTTAATATCTGTCTCTCCCAGGAATTACCTGGTGGTCCAATGGTTAGGACTCCACATTCTCACTGCAAACGGCCTGGGTTTGATCCCTGGTCGGGGAACTAAAATCACACAAGCCACGTGGTGTGGCCAAAAAAATACACATACGCGCACACACACACATATAACATATCTGTCTCTCCCATTTATCCGTTAACTCCATGAAGACAGGGGCCATGTCTGTCATGTTTATTCACTGCTATATCCCTAGATATAAGCAGATCTTAGCCCCTAGTAAAGCTCAATAAATATTTTTTAAATGAATGATTGAACAAATGAATCACTCATCCTCTAAATGCTTTCTCTCTTGTTTCATAACTCTAGTCAAGGTGTATCTTCTTTAAGTACCATACACATAATAAATTCTCTTATATTTTTTCAAATGTATCAAGGCTGTGATGATCTCTGATGCTCAGGGAAGATAACAATTTTCCTAAGGTTAAATACTCAGCTAGTAAGTGGCAGAGCAAAGATTCTAATCAAGACAGGCTGAACAGAAAATGGAAATAAAGCTGATGGAAAATAAACAGTTTCTTTTAAAAAAAAAAAAAAGTCTAGATGGTAACTAGACTTATCATGGTGATCACTTTGTAATATATAGAAATATCAAATCACTATCTTTTGCACCAGGAACTAACATAGTGTTGTAGGTCAGTTATACTTCAAAAACAAACAAACAGACAAGCTAATAGAAAAAGAGGTCAGAATTGTGGTTACCAGAGACAGGGCATGGGGGAGGGAGAATTGGCTGAAGGTGGCCAAAAGGTACAAACTTCCCGTTATAAGATAAATAAGAGTTAGGGATGCAATGTACAAAATATATGTTAAATGTGAAAGTTGTTAAGAGAGTAAATCCTAAGAGTTTTCATCATTTCATCATTTTTTTTCTTTTTCTTTTGTTATCTTTATGAGATGGTGGATGTTCACTAAACTTATTATGGTAATCATTTCATCATGTATGTAAGTCAGATCATTATGCTATTACACCTTAAACTTATACAGTGCTGTATGTCAATTACATTTCAATAAAACTGGAAAGAAAAAGAAAAAAAGGACAGGCTGGCTCCAAACCCAGGTCTATGACCAGAATGCTATACTGACTCTCAGTAAATGATAATGGCTAACACATACTATGTCCTAAGTGTTGTTCTATGCATTTTACATAAATTAACTCATTTAGCTTGCCTTCTGTAGAAGTCATATAACTAGTAAGAGATAATTACATTGTAGGTAGCCTTGATTAAATGTCAAATTAGAGTTTGATCTTGAACAATTAGGCAGAAAAGAACAATTTTAGTTCTTAAGCAGGAGAAAAGACAGGGAAGGTACTTCTGAAAAACTAATCTACTCATGTTAGAATATGTTAGAAAGGGGTGAGGAAAGAAGGAAAATGAAATAGAGAGTAATTGCAATAATTATATTAGGGTACAAAATGAGGGCATAAGACTAGATGATTTCTCAGTTTCCTAAGGAAAGGCAGTGTTGTCCTGTGGTAAGGATCGGAAATATCTGAATTTGAATCCAGCTTTGCTACTTGGTATGTGCTTGACTTTTGGAAAGTTACTGAGCCATTCTGTGCCTTTATTTTCCTCATATGTTTAATGTTTAACTATTAAGTATTAACTATTTCAGAATTATTATGGCTTCACCTAGTACTTTTACTAGTATGGTGTATGCTGCACCCCCTACTACCACAAAGGGTTTTATAAATTAACTATAAGAGAGATTTCAAGAGAAGCATCATTATGTCTTACATAGATGTGTAGTGAATGTTGAATAAATCACTGAAAATGAGTGAAAAAAAAAGGTTCCAAAGCAAAGGTTTGAGGCTAAAAGAATGGTTTTAATGGGAGTTAGCTTTGTGGAAAGAATGTTGGATTTGGGGTCAGAAGGCATAGGTGCAGATCTCAGTTATGCTACTTACTAACTTTGTAACCTTGCACATATCATATAACCTCTCTATCCTCAATTTTCTCATCTATAAAAGAATATGATTATGATGTTTGTTTATCTCACAGAATAAGAAGAATCACTTGAGATACTGTGTATAAGAACACATTGTAAAACACTCAGTATACAGATACTGTGATGTTATTAATTGACATAATAACAGAAATTAGCAAATTGGGGGTAAATATCCAGTTAGTATGGGAAATTGAGGGTTTTTTTGGTTATGTTGAACAGGAGATGACAGTGGGGTTTCTAAGTAGAGAGTTTCCACAGGCATTTGAAAATGCAAGCCCGGAATTTGGCTGATAGGAGAGAGCTAAAGCTGTTAGCATTAGAGTGATATTTGAAGCCATTAAAGAAAGAGAGGATGATTTCATTGAGAGAATTTAGTGAGAGATTACTACTCTATGAATGTGTTTATATCCATGTACATATAAAAAACATAGATTTTAGGGCTTCCCTGGTGGCGCAGTGGTTGAGAGTCCGCCTGCCAATGCAGGGGACACGGGTTCTTGCCCTGGTTCGGGAAGATCCCACATGCCGCGGAGCGGCTGGGCCCGTGATCCATGGCTGCTGAGCCTGTGCGTCCGGAGCCTGTGCTCCACAACGGGAGAGGCCACAACAGTGAGAGGCCCGCGTACAGCAAAAAAAAAAAAAGAACATAGTTTTTAAAAATTTCTGTTTATATAGATGCTTATAGACACAGGAAAATACTGGTTATCAGCTTATTTTTGCTTTTCCTCATTTAAATTGTAAGCTATTTAAGGGAAAGGGCAGCGTCTTCTAACCAGTAGATCTAGAAAAATACCATACACGAGAGATACAGAGGTTAGTGTGAGTGATCATTTTAGTAAATAGCATTTTTCATTCCCAGTGTTCTAGATTCTGACCAGCTTCCCTTTTTTGGGGGGTGTGGGGTTATATAGCAAAATGCGTCACAAAGTCCACAGAAACAACACCCCCCCTTAGACGGTGAGGTAAGTTTATATAATCACCTTTCTTTGGAACTTTTTATTATTGCAATGAAAATGAAATGTTTTGCATGTGATTATCATATGTTTTCAGTGATCAGAATGTTGCCATTTTCTTTTTTCCCCTCACAAAATTCTCCTTACTAGGAAGAAAAAGACACAGGCCAGGAAGTTTATCAGAATCTATAGATTGGGGTTTTTTAAATCTATACACATCCATCTGGAGATTATTTCCCTCCTCCCATCCCCAGCAGAGTTATCATCTCCCTCATCCATTTTCAGAGCTGCTGTGTAATGAGAGATGGTCCTGAGAGCTGTATCTGGCACACGTGAATGGTGTTGGTATTAAACAAAAAACTCTACATAGTATTTCAGTTTCAGTGCTCATTTCCTAAGTGTGTATATTATTGATTATACTTTGTACACATTAGTTTTATAATATTAAGTAGTATATTTTCGTTTCAAAGTAACATGTAAGATTAACTGTTTATTAACCTTTTAAAAATCTATGCACCTAGATTCTGTATTGTAATGATGTCCTATGTAAAAAGAAAATAATAAACTAGATTGTAAATTTTATTGTTTTAACATGTGTGCACGTTTAGTGACATTTACATTTTGAAATAAAATTTATGATTCATTATTTTTTTAAAAAATCTGTATACGTATTTTGACCTGTTAAACTGAAGCTTATTACTAAATGAATATTTTATTGTACTTGGCTTTTTCATTAGCTATTTTCCTTTATCTTTGCCTTCTTAGTTTTTGAATTTATGATCATTACTTCCTTAAAAAATGCATAAAGGCATTATTTCACGTGAGTGTTGACTTTGATTTTTGTAAAATAAGTTATTTGAAAACCTAACACATGGGGCTTTACAAGCATCAATCTTCAGCACAGTGTTTTCAAAGCACAAGTGTTTCTGGAATGGTAAAATGTATTGTTTGAAATGTTTTAAATTATCCATTATAAAGTTTTTTTTAATCTTATTAGATATATAATAACTATTTTTGGTTATTTATTTGAGAGCTTATGCATTGGTATAGTACCTGAAAGATTCACTCAAGCACTTTCAGTTGTCTTTTCTTCACATGGTAATAACTCTGTACAAACCTTTGGCAATCAAAGTTTGATAAGTTAATACATTCTTCCTTTTTTACCCAACATTTCCTTCTTACTGGTCATTCTGGAGTAATTCATTATCTGAAAACTAAAGCTCCTCAGGAAAATAACATGTATAGTTTTAAATTTTCCAGTTGTACCCTTGTTTTGTCTGAGAAAGGTAATGAAGAGATGCCTAGACTAGAAATCATGACTCTTGGGTTTATTGTTTTGACTTTGTCACCAGCTTACTAAATGACCACAAATTCTTTATGTTACTGCTACATCTTCAACTTTCTCTTCTCAGAACAGAGAATAATTCCTATTCCCCTCCTTGCTTTAGAAAGTTTTTATGCAATAAGATCATATTTGCAGTTGTTTAAGTTCTTTGGGAGAAAATCATTACTCAGAAACAACTTATTAGCTATTTTAATGCATGGATTCTGAATGATTGTGAATGTGGTCCTGTATGTCAGCATCTTCACAAGTATGTGTTAATATGTCTCTTTGCTTGTGTATTTGTGAAACTCATCATGTGTGTGCATAGCTTGTTTTTGACATTGCTTCATTTTTCTCCACCTCTCCAGTGTCCCTTCCCACCCAGAAGGTCTCAGCACACTGATGATAGTGCCTTGTTAGTGGTAAGAACCTTGCACAAAATGGAATTTTACATTGCTTTGTCTAGAGATTTGGGGAATAGCTATTGTACTTTTCATTCTGAATTGATCTAAATACCATAAAACATGATGAGTATCATTACTAAATGCTTTACAAATAGCTAGAACTGTCTCCCTACATTACTTTTCACGATTTACCCAGTGTTCCAAGTGCTCTGCAGATATGATTCAAATATCTTTGTTAGTGTTTCCAAAAGTAAAACATTTGCATTGAGAACCATATTGGCTTTGTATGTGTGTTTGGAGGAGAGGGAATAATATATTCATTTTTTAAATGTTTCTAATTCCAGGTGAACTTTATTAATCACTGTTTTGTCTTATAAGTCACCTGTATGATGAATGGTTCCCTTACTTCATGATGCTAATTATACAAATGTATATTTGGCATCCTATTTTATTATCTATTTTAACCTACTGAAAATCCCAAACTTTTAGATCTCAAGATTATCCCTCCATACCCATTTTATATCTTAAACTTAGGGAAACATTAACTTGGAATGCTGTCTACTGATCATTTTTAACATTGGTTTACTGTTTTTTTTAATTTTATATTTGATTTTATTGGACACATGCAAATTTAGAAGATACATTAAAACACACTGGTTTACTTTTATTGCCTGTTTCATCAGCTGAAAATGAGTATAACTTCAGAGCTTTATTGAGAGTCTTACTTTTATCAGCTTTGCAAGAGAATTCTAACCATGTGCGTAATTGCTTTTCCCATCATGTTTTATGTTATTTTTTTCACCATAGTATTGAAAACTAGCAATTCAAAAGCCTATTGTCTGTAGCAATTCCTGTCTTAGGAGCTAGTAACTGCCGCCATTGTGCATACTACTGCATGAACTGCATACTTGAGCATGAGATTTCTATTACATAAACTTTCATTGTCAGAATTTCTGTGTTCTGTAATCATCATTTTCTTTAAGATGGCTAAAGCACATTTTAACTGGCAGTCTTATAAAGAAATAGGCCTCTGGAGTTTTAGTCAAAGTTAATTGGCATGAGAAGCAAATAACAAGTTAATGTAGAAAAATATTGAGAGCCTATGGTGATCCAGACACTTTACCAGAATTATCTCATTCACTCCTCACAGCAGCCTTAAGAGTTATGGTTAAACTTATCACCATTTTACAAATGATAACTGAGGCACAGAATGTTTTGCCCAGAATGTGACTTCTCCAAGGTCACAGCTAGTAAGTACAAGGCTGGGTTCAAATCTAGATCCAGGTGACTTGAGAACGTGCATGAACACTGTGCTATATTGCCTCCCGTACTGTAATTGAAAACACTTTGAAACACTTTAGGAAACTGAAGATGAGATTTAATAACACATATAGTAAGTGCTGAATGCCCAGGCGTTTTTGTCAAGGAAAAAGTGGAATTTGGAAAAACAATAAAATCCCCTTAGCGTGAAATTTGTAATTTCAGCCATTTTCAAAATACATACACTTATATTTTACTTAACAGTATTCATGTCTGGCCTAAATTAGACGGCCTTTAAAAACAAGAACCACGTCTCACATATTTTTGCATGCCAAATAGTGTCCAACGTGTATTACAAAAATAGTCATTTTTTAAATCATACCTCTGATCTTCTCAAAACTACTTTTCAGTGGCTTCATATAGTAGAATAAAGTCCATATACTTTTTTTTTAGATTTATTTATTATTTATTTTATTTATTTTTTTTGGCTGCGTCGGGTCTTAGTTGCAGCACGTGAGCTTCTCTCTAGTTGTGGCGTGAGCGTTTTCTCTTCTCTAGTTGTGGTGCACAGACTCCAGGGCACATGGGCTCTGTAGTTGTGGTACGCAGGTTCCAGAGCCTGTGGGCTCTGTGGTTTGCAGCACACAGGCTTTCTCGTTGAGGTGCGTGAGCTCAGTAGCTGTGGCGTGCAGGTTTAGTTGCCCCGCGGCATGTGGGATCTTAGTTCCCCGACCAAGGATTGAACTAGTGTCCCCTGCATTGGAAGGCAGATTCTTTACCACTGGACCACCAGGGAAGTCCCCCAATCCATATACTTCTTAACACAGCCTACAAACCCTTTAGAGCAGGTTCCAAACTTCTTAACATGGCCTATAAGCTCCTGTGTACTCGGGGTACTATGTATCTCTCATCTCTGGGGTCATGCTATATCAGCATTTTTTCAGCTCTGAAAATATGGCAAGCCCTTTCCCACCTCAGGATCTTTGCAAATGCTGCTCCCTCTGCATGGAATGCCTCTCATTCCCTGCATATACCCCTTGGTTAATTCCTACTGATCTATCTGTTATCAGCTTAAATGTCACACCCTTAAAATGGCTTTTCTGCAACACCCCTACCCCCAAATCAAATTTGTCTCCACTGTTTTTTTCTTTTCTTCATAGCACTTTTAGGTGGTGTTCATTGTTTTGTATCTCCCCCTCTCCCCCACCCCCAATAGACTACTAGACTGTAAGCTTCATGGGCACAGGGATATTCTCTGTTGCATTTACCTATGTATACTCAATCCCTATCATAATTCCTGGGATATATTAGTTGCTTAATAAATAATTCCTGAGTGAATAATTCCTGATGTATTCTGTACATCTAATAATTGCTCATTAGGGGAGTTCCCTGGTGGTCTAGTGGTTAGGATTCGGTGTTTTCACTGCAGTGGCCCCAGTTCAATCCCTGGTCGGGGAGCTGAGATCCCACAAGCTGCATGGTGTGGCCAAAATAAAAAAATAAAAAATAAAATCACAATCAGAAAAAAAAAAAAAATCTCAAAAAAAATTGTTTCAAGATAAGAAGTTCTGATGATATAGCAAGTAAATGTTGGATTTGATTTAAAGACCTTGAAATATGGGATTTGAAATAACTGTTGGTAATGTTTAATATCAGTTACACTAACATTCTCTTAGGATTGCCCTTCAGGCTTCTGTTGCTTTCATATATGTCCCATATGTATCTACATCCCATCTCTAGATACTAGAAAGGATCTAGGCTCATTTCACTTCTTCTTCCTTCCATCCTTTTTTCCTTCTTTGCCAGCATAGTGGCTTTTAGCCTTTTTTTTTTTTTTTTTTGCGGTACGCGGGCCTCTCACTGTTGTGGCCTCTCCCATTGCGGAGCACAGGCTCCAGGCATGCAGGCTTAGCTGGCCATGGCTCACGGGCCCAGCCGCTTCGCGGCATGTGGGATCCTCCCGGACCAGGGCACAAACCCGTGTCCCCTGCATCGGCAGGCGGACTCTCAACCACTGCGCCACCAGGGAAGCCCTAGCCTTTTTATATTTGAGATTGACAGTAATTCAAGTCCATTTGATCATAAGGAGGCCCAGGAAATCTAAACAGGTGAAGGCATATACAATGTAAGACTGCTGTCACAGCCTTGTTCTTTGGTACATTTCTTTCCTCACTTTCTTCTGCCTTAAGATAATGTTGCAGTGTGTGTTACATGCTTTTTTTTGCACACACGAAAAAGACATTGCTATCTATCAACTCATTAAAAATATAGTTGTATTTATTATATTGACCATCCTACTCACCTTTTCCTAAACACCACGTGTGTTCTTGTTCATTTATCCCATGATTCAGATATTTGTGATTGTAGTTTAAATTTTTTAAAATTATTTAACTTATAAAGACTTTAATATCTTTAAGCCTTTGGCATTTTTAATAGATACAATCTTACCCAATGCCCTTTGTGAAAGTTCTGCCTTCTCTGATTTCTACTCCCCACCAAATGAAAAAATTGTCATGTTTTGAGCAGCTTTTATCTGTAATCAAAATTCTGTACAATAGATTCTAACACTTACTGTTTCTAATTATATCTCTAATATATCTAACTAGTTTTATGTAGTCTGGTGAAAGGATAAAGGATTCAAAGAAAAGGAAAATTGTACTTAACTTCTCAGAGGTCATTTGGACTTTTACAGAAGCAGAAATGAAATGCTGGTTCATCCTTAAGGTGTGATGCAAAATCCTCATGTCCTGGCTTCTCACATCAGAGCCATTAAACTGAATTATAATAAATCTAATTTGAATTAATATTGAAAAGGTGTTGCTCTTATTCATGCCAATTCTGATCAGTTAAAATGAGCTCTTTGACTGGATTTGTTTCCCCTGTCATAGGAACAGCACAGGACTCATTTGTTTCTAAGGCTATTTTGCTAAAAAAAATTTGATGTACTCAGTTTTATTTCCATATAAAATCATGTTTAATAAATCATGCCTTTCATTTCTTGATTAATGTGGTATGAGGTATTGAAATAATTTGAATTAAACAGGTGGAAAACTGTGTTTAATAAATTATAGGGTTTTTCCCCCCAACTATTCTCTTTCTGCCCTATCAATATCTTAGTAAAACCATTTGAAAGTTTGTCAGTGACCTTTCCTTTTCTAATTTTACTGACAAGATCTGCCTGCCTGCCTGTCTGACATTTTGCTAACATAAATGCTGCCTTCTGTTTCTTCTCTTTCTCTTTTGCAATTTAGTCGCTGTCAGGTGTGAATCAAGTGGGCTGTGCTGCTACCCTGCCTCATTCTTCTGCCTTCAGGCCTCTTAAGGTATATCTTGTTATTGTAATTTACCAGGAACTTTGAGGAGGGGATTTGCAGGGGAGGTCTTAAATTTCCCAATGGATTGGTCTAACAACAGTCTGAAATCTAGAATTGTATGAAATATAACTAAGCTTATGAAACTAAGTTTAACATTAATTTCACTTGAAATTTTTTTGGAAGTTTTATTATGTCAGAAACATAGAGCCTTTGTTAATTCTTTATATTGAGATTTTTGTTTGAAATGTCCTTCTAATTTTCTTATCAAAGGGTTGGGGTTTTTTTGTCATGAGTTACTATGTTACTTTGGTTAATATATGATATTGAGTTAACTCTGTTGCCTAATGTGCATGCAAAATAATTTGAGTATCAGTCCCCCAAAGTGTCACTGCCAAAACCCTATTACAGTAGAGGTCAGCAAGCTATGGTCCCTAGGCCACCTGTTTCTGTAAATAGTTTTGGTGGCATACAGCCACTCCCATTTGTCTATGGCTGCTTTTGCACTTAAAAGCAGAGTAGATGAATAGTTACAATGGACATCATATGGCCTGGAAGTCTAAATTAAAAACCTGTGGTATTTTATTTTTTTAAAGGCCTCTACGGATGGTAATTCCATACTTATTATCATATGATACCTAAGAAATGATTCATAATCCTGACTGTCAACAAGGTCCTCTCCTTGTCTAACTTATATCTGTCCTCCTGTGGTTTACACCTATTTCTTCTTTTCTTTCCAGAGTGGAGATTTTCTAGTTACTTAGCAGTCCTTATGTGGAGAATCTTTACAGTTGAAAACTATTATGATGCCACCCTTGTCTTAAAGTTAAAGTTAATGTTAAAGTTTCTAGTCTCACTGTAATAGGCCTTTTTAAATTAAAAAAAAATTTTTTTCCTCTGTATCTGGAATAATCTCTACTTTTTATATTTTTCTGTTTGTACCATTGGTCCTAGCTTTCTCCTTCCTACCTCATCTTCCTTGAAAATAAGGATAGTATTTTGTTTCCTTAAAAAGATATCCAGCTTTTGCCTCATTGCCCCATTTATTCCTTTTACTAGTGCCTGTTGCTCTTATTTTAAATTAAATTTGTTATTTAAATTTTCATTTCTTCTCAGCATCCTAAACTTAATTTATTGGCATCTTTAAACTTGATGAACATGTTGTCTTTTTCACTAATGAAGATGTAATACATTGCTTCACTCAGGAGCGCAGCTTACTTTTTAAGTCTTAATTCTTGGCCTAAGAGTATCAAACCAAGGAATCATCACCACAGAATTGTCTTTCAGATCAGTCCAAGAATTTTCTCAACAGCATGGCTTCTGTTTATTTACTTATTTATAGCAGTTAAAATTTCCTGTCAACATTAATCTCACCTGACCCAACTCCAACTTCAGATAAAAGATTTCTGAAAATATTGAAAACCAAAAGGGAAAAAAAAGCATGGGAGTGTGTATGTGTGTGTGTGTGTGTGTGTGTTTTAAAGTCATTCTGTTCAAAAATGTGTCTCAGTTATCATAAATTATTGAGTACAACTCAATGATTATTGAATATAACTAGCTATCAAGGCCTAAAAACCTGTTGTTATTCTAGCTTGATTCTACTCCTCTGCCAAGTCTTCAATATTTTTAACCCAGCTAACCAACGCTTCCTTTTAAATTAGCTTAACTCCATTCCCTTTTTTTAGGTACCCTGTACACCAGTTGAGCTAGTTCTTCCTCCTGCTTTACAGTTCCTTTGGTCAATAAATTAAAAACATCTTGGATTCAAATACTAGTCTTGAAATACAACTATCATCTTTAAATACCTCATTTCCTAACTGAAATGAAGAAAGCTTCATCACTCTTTCTTAAAACAGTACTCAAGGAGGGGGGTAGGAATACTTTAGAAAGTATGCCAGAAAAATACTATTATAAAATAAAATTTTATTCTCTTCTATATATTCCCCAATAAAATTTTCTGCCTTAGGATGATTTCATTTTTCACAGTCATAGGAAAGGCCTGTTATATAATAGGACTATCTTTAGAGAATGCATTACATAAATCTTGCTCTCTACAACTAAATAAAGTTTGGCCTTGGTGGGGGGGTGGGATGAATTGGGAGATTGGGATTGACATATATACACTATTGATACTATGTATAAAATAGATAATGAGAACCTACTGTATAGCACAGGGAACTCTACTCAGTGCTCTGTGGTGACCTAAATGGGAAGGAAATCCAAAAAAGAGGAGTTATATGTATACATATAGTTGATTTACTTTGCTGTACAGTAGAAACTAACACGACATTGTAAAGCAGCTGTACTCCAATAAAAATTAATTTTTAAAAAAGTTTGGCCTTAAAAAATATTCAGAATTATTATAACAAATTCTCATTTCTAGACTTAATTTTGAAGGAGAGTTGCATGTTTTTTTTCTTTTATTGATATAATCCCAAATGTGGAAAGAGGTACTATCCATAAATGTGGAAAGTACCTCTTCTTGAATAATAATTATTGATGTATCTATGTTTCTCCACAGAATGATCACAGATCTAATGCTATATCAAGTTCACCTACAACAGAAACAGGTAATAGACACAAAAGTGCAATTAACCACATCCCAATTATAATTCTTTACCAGGATTTTCCTGATAAATTACTCCTTAGATGGCTGTGGCTTCCTTTTCTGAAATGAGAAATCAGGCACAAAATTGGGAACTCTGCACATTTTTCGCTTTTTAATTCAACTAGTCATTCAACCACTCAGCCATTTGATATGAAAAAATGAGCAAGAGCTAGCAGGGCTGTAGGTTTGCAAGAGACTATATTTAATATATTAACATTCATTTTGCCTTTATTGAATACCAAAAGTAACATGACAATTAAAAATACATATAAACAGGGATTTCCCTGGTAGTGTAGTGGTTAGGATTCCAGGCTTTTACTGACATGGCCTAGGTTCAATCCCTTGTTGGGAAACAGATCCCACAAGCTGTGCAGCCCGGCCCCCCAAAAAAATAAAAATACATACAAGCAGCCCTCCCACTTTCAGGGTTACTTTTCTTTTCTTCTTTTTTTAAGTACTTATTTATTTGGCTGCTCCGGGTCTGAGTTGCGGCATATGGGATTTTTAGTTGTGGTATGCAGGATATTTTAGTTGTGGCATGCGGGATCTAGTTCCCTGACCAGGGATCGAACCTGGGCCCCCTGCATTGGGAGCGTGGAGTCTTAACCTTTAGCTCATGAGGGAAGTCCCAGAGGTTACTTTTCTATACCAGATTTTCTATTAATAAACAAAATTATCATTTTATATCATTGCAATATTTAACTTTTTTCTTCATTTGCCATTTATTGAACTTTTGTCATGTGTCTGTTATTATATTTAATTTTTTCCATCTTCTTTAATCTTATTTTGCTTTTCCATGCTGATTCAGTTCATCATTCCCCTGCATATTCTTTTCCTGCTGCTATTCAGAGAAACCAGGCCCAGCGCCCTGAAAGCTTCCTTTTCAGAGGAGCTGTCAGGGCAGAAACAAATAAAGGTAGGTGGCAGTGCTAAAAGGGGCATTGGAGGGGGTGGGGGATGGTGGTTATTACAATGACATTATACATTACATGCTTTTAAACTTCTACCCTGGGAATTCCCTGGCAGGCCAGTGGTTAGGACCCTGCGCTGTCACTGCCGGGGCCCTGGTTCAACCCTGGGTCAGGGAACTAAGATCCCGCAAGCCGCGCGGTGAGGCCAGACAAACAAACAAATAAATAAATAAACTTCTACCCTGAGATGTCACCAAGGCAAAAGTTTTAAACTCTGCGTTTGTCTGTGATCTCACTGATATTAAAGGAAGAGAATCTTAATCTTGTTTGAATTCATTTTGGTCAGAAAGTTTCTCAGTACCACCTAAAAGCAGGTTATAGTGTTTGAACAAAAAAATTACTCTTTCAGGGCTTCAGGGAATGTCCCTTCTCTCTGTAGTGTGCTCTTTTTCCGATTTTTCTGTTGGTAAAAGCTGTTTTCTTTGTTGTTAAAGAAATCAATCAGTAATTAAAAAAAAAAACAAACTATTTAGTCTCATGGTTTTTAGTTAATGTGGCAAATTTCTGCCTGACCCCCAAAGAAGTTACCTAGAAGTGGAAACAGACATTTTACTCCCAAAATAACTATTTTTAACATAACTGATAGATACACTCACAGTGAGATTTAAACTCAAACCAGAGGTGCACTGCTCGTGGGATTGTTAATTAGCATGGAAAACTGTTTACATTATCTGCTAATGGTGAACCCTTGTATATCCTATGACTAGCAGTTTTGCTTTCTGAAATATGTACACATCTGTACCAAAAGATATGTCCAAATTATTCATAGCAACATTATTCATAATAGCCCCAAACTGAATGTCCATCCACAATAGAATGGATAAATAATTGTGTATATTTGTACAATGGGATACTAAATAAGCAATGAAAATGAACACATTAATATACACAACAACGTGGATAAATCTTATAATGTTGATCAAAAGAAGCCAAACATAAAAACATACACACATATAATACGGTTTTATATGTAGAAAGTTCAAAAATGGGCAAAACTAATCTGTGGTGTTAGAAGCCAGGAGGTACATAGTTAGAACCTGTGGTACTAGAAATAACTGTTGGGTACTGATACTGATGGGTAGGGAACATGAGAGGGTCTCCTGGGTGTTGGTAATGTTGCATTTATTGACTTGCTTGTGTCTGCTTTGTGATGATAATTTATTCAGCTGTTTGCTTATGATTTGTCTAATTTTTTGCATGCGATATTTTTCAATAGAAGCGTTTTTAAATGGATGTAATCAAACACACAAAGTAGTTGAGCCAAATGGGTAATGGACATTTGGTAGTTTTTCATACTATTCTCCCTATTATTGTGCATATTTTTAAATTTCCATAATAAAAACTTTTTTTAAAAGGTCACTCAAGAAGTAGAAAGTGCGGTACTTTCAAGGAAACTGTGATCAGGTGGATCTGAGTATTTTTGCAGCACTGGCAGTCACTTTCTATCTTACGTACCAATATTTTTCAGGTCATGCGTCACCCCTTCTTTCATCTTCTGCACCTACCACTGATTTTAAAGATCCGGTAACAAGGCAGAATTCAAGACAGAGAGAAGAAGAGCTGGAATTAATAGATCAACTACGGAAAGTATGTACATTGCCTTTGAATTACATTTTTCAGTGATACTGGTGTAGCCCATAATCCTGGCATCACTTGTTCATTTGACTTATAATTTTTAATAGAATCAACAAGTGCCCATTGTGTGCTGTGATGCCCATTGTGTGCTGTGATGCCCATTGTGCGATGAATTTTTTCACTTGTTTACTAGGAAAATGAGATGGGTTATTCCATAAAGCTCAACCCCTGACCCTACTCATTTAAAATTTTTTTCTGCCTCATGATTTAAAGAAATCTTGTTAGAGTAATAATAATTCATATGTATGTACACATATACGTATATTGATACATACCACACTTACATCATACGTACTGTTTATTTTAAAATTGGATCTAGTTGTTTTTTGTTTTTTAGTCAGAAAATTGTAAATGAATTCTGTTGTGGAACTTTGCAGCACTGTCGCCTGGCTGCCATACATATATATATATATATGATCTCCTTAAGTTATTGACTTAGGATAGAAAGATAAAATAGAGATTGTGGTACTTAAGTTATTTGCTTTTTAACTTGATTTCTAATTAAAAATATTCCATTGTGACTCCATTATGTCCTGTGTGTCAGCCACTCTTGAATTAATATATTTCACATTTTCCTGTTCTTTTAGCATATTGAGTACCGGTTAAAAGTATCTCTGCCTTGTGATCTTGGAGCAGCTCTAACCGATGGTGTTGTTCTTTGCCATTTGGCCAATCATGTGCGGCCTCGATCTGTCCCAAGCATTCACGTTCCCTCACCAGCTGTAGTAAGTTTATAATGCTTAAAAAAAGTTGGCTCTTCATCAGACATGTGTTAAGTACAGAGGCAGGCACTGTGCAGAATGCTAAGGGTACAAATATGAATAGAGTCCAGCCCCTGCCTTCCGGGTCTCACTTGCACTAGAGAAAAAGTAGGCATGTAAACAATAACTTACAGCTGTGTGTGATGTTATAAAAGAGGTATGTAAGAAGTGTGCTATGGGAATACAAAAAAGGGGCCACTTCAACTCTGCCTGGAAAGTTCAGGAAAGCCTTCCCAGAAGAGGTAAAATTTGAACTAATTCTTGATGTATAAGTAGGAATTTGCCAGCAGTACAGAGAGGGAGAACAGCATTCTGGGCATAGTATTTCTAGACTAAAAAGCTAAGGAAGATCATGGCATATTCAAGGATTTCTTAAGTTGTTCAGGATAGATCATTCACAAGGTGTTGGTGTAAATGGCAGAGGATATAGCTAGAGAGGTAAGCTAAGGGCCATGTGACAAGGGCCTCATGTCCCATGTCAGGGAGACAGAAGTTTATCTTAGTGTAGACAATCAGGAAACACAGAAAGAATTTGAGAGGAATAATGTGATTATAATTGCAGTTTAGAATGATGAATATTTCAGGGGTAGAAGTGACATGATTGAGGGACCAACCTCAGGTGGAAAATGAGGCAGAATATGCATTCAAGATGACTGGCAGGTTTTTTTTAGACTGCTGGTTAGATATGGACATCAGTATCAGGATGGCAACCCACAAGAGAAAGAGCAAGTTTTAGATTGACACAACTCTCCTTTTTCTTCCTTCAAGATTTTTAAATATTTTTTCCATTTTTTAATTTATTTATTTGGCTGCATCAGGTCTTTGTTGCAGCACGCAAGATCTTTATTGCAGCAGGTGGCTCTTTCATCGTGGCAGGGGTTCTCTTCATTGCAGGCTTCTTTCTAGTTGTGGCGTGTGGGCTCAGTAGTTGCAGCGCACACCTTCAAATTTTTATTAAGATTTCAAACCTTCAGAAAAACTGAAAGAATAACACAAAGAATACCCTTAAAGCCTCCACCTAGAGCTGACATTCATTGCATCTTGCCATCTTGCTTTGTCTATATTTATGCGTGTTCATGTGTGTGTGTATTTTAATTGCACCATTTAAAAGTTGCAGATATTATAACACCTTACCCCCTAAATATTTCTGAGAATTGTCCTAGGCCACCTTGCTCTTATCCATAGCCTGAAGCCAGGGATGAACAATGTGGTGGCTGAGCCCTATTCCTCAAGGTGGGAGTGTGATGTGATTTATTCACAAGGCTCCCTATGGGATCAGGCTGAAACTGAGAAGGGACAGCTCTGAGCCCTTAGCAGCCAGCAGGGAGTGGGGGTAGGAAATGAGGATGGATGCACAGGCTAAGTAAAGAGACATTGGGTGAGGCACCAATAGCATCCACAAGTTATATTCAGATTTCCCCAGTTGTTCCAAGAATATCTTTCACGGCTGCTCTGCTCCTCTCCCCTCGCTAGTATGCACACACAACAGGATGTAATCAAGGTTTCCACATTGCATTTGATTATTATTTGATGTTGTGACAGCTCTTTTGATGAGTCTGAATGGATATTGTGCATCTGTAACATGCTTAGCAGTGTCTAACCTTTTAAAGGTTTTGCCCTCATCTCATTTTCTGGTCATTTGTTGTTATTTAGCACATACTTCCTGATGCAAATCCTTTACTCAAATTGCAGTTGTATCTAGGCCTATAGATTGCCACTCTGGATATTCATCTTGCTGCCTCCCCAGATGCAAATCGTTTAAGCCTCCCAAGGACCTTTGATTCTAATTATAAAAGCTGCTTTGTTACCAAGGTCCCAAGAGGCTGATATGGCCCTTTCCCCTCTAGCATATCCAAAAACAGAGTCATACATTTGCTTCTAAAGAAAATAGGTAGCCATTTTTTATTTAGTGACCTCAGAAAGCAGGCATTCAGCTTTGTGTAGAAAAGGCAGAGAGGAACAGTAGCACTACCAAATCAACTATGCCCCCAAAGACTTGAAAGACTTGGTTTTGCTCCTAAAGGTGGTGATTAAGATAACAGGAATTGACATGCTATTTGGCAACACCAGAAGGGTAATGGCTTATTCATACTTTGCATTCTTCCCAGTTTCTGTCAACTGAATTAAGAAAAATAAATTTTTTTAGTAATAAAAGAAACCAAATCTATCATTCTTCATTTTCAGGGGAAATACTTAGGAAGTAGCAAGGAGCTCATGTAGAAAGTGGAATATGAGAGTAAGGGTAACTGAGGTTTTTTATCTTCATCAACCAAACATAGTGCCTTTCATTTAAGAATGTAAAATATTTACATACAGGAAAAACAGAACTATTTTATCAATGTTAAACCACTTAGAGACATAAAACACATGGACCTTCTTGTCAAAGAAACATGATATAACATGAAATTAGAGCATTTAAAACTTGCTAATGAAATCAACAACAACATTTAGTCATATTTATTGAGCAGCTAGTCAGTGGTAGGCATTCTGAATAGGATGAAAGGTACAGAGATGAGTTACAAGTGGTCCATTCTCTCAAGAACATGAATTCCTCTTAAAAAGTAAAATAAATAAAAGAGGTCTTTCCTGAAATAGTATCCTCGACACTTAAAAGCAAGTAGGCCTGGGGCTTCCCTGGTGGCGCAGTGGTTGAGAGTCCGCCTGATGATGCAGGGGACACGGGTTTGTGCCCCGGTCCGGGAAGATCCCACATGCCGCGGAGTGGCTGGGCCCGTGAGCCATGGCTGCTGAGCCTGCGCGTCCGGAGCCTGTGCTCCGCAACAAGAGAGGCCACAAGAGTGAGAGGCCCACGTACCGCAAAAAAAAAAAGCAAGTAGGCCTAAATAAAATTGTTTAAGAGGGGATCTTTTGGGTCAATAAATGACCTATAAAGTTGAGAAACACCTCAGTATGCAAAAATTCCCAAATTATAACATTTGGGGGTGGAAAAATGGACTTTGAGTCAACCAGATGAAAACCATCCAGTATTTTAATTAAAAGCAAAAAAAAAAAAAAACCCTCACTTTTAAATTATGATACTGATTATTATGAATAAGTCAATATTGCTTTAATGAGGATACTGTTACAGTACTAGATTTTAATATAAATATTTATATCTTTTTCCTTCATACTGAATTGCTCTCCCTCATATTAGATTATTTCTTCCCTTATTTTGTTCTTCTGACTATACAGAGAGCTTTGTAACTTACTTTCTTAGAGATTTTTCCTGATGAGAATATAAAATTAAAGCCAAATACAAATGAAAAACCATAGCAGTTTCTTTGTGGCTACATTAACACATAGTGATTTATTGTAATTCTTTGAAAACCTGCTAATTAGATCTGAGTGTAACTTAAAAAACACTTTCATGATGTACTGTATGAACCAGGCTTTCCCCCCCGCCCCCCAGTTCAAGAAATGATCCCTCATTGCAAGGGGAGGTCATAAGTCCAGGTATTTTGAAAGAAACTCAGAAGGGCACTTGTGCTTGTAACCATTAGGTTATAATTCATCTTTCTTTGTTATTTTGGGAGGATCTATGATGTATGATAAACTGCTCTTTGGTTGTTGAATAGGCATAGGTTTTAAGTAGTACAGTTCACATTGTTAGAAGTGCACTATTGAACCATATAAAAAAATCATTACAAATATTGTGATGTGACAGCTCATTGAAAGAACCATATCACCAAGGAAGATGACCTGAAAAAATGCTGAATCATTTCAATTTTCAAATAGCAAAATCATTTATTTCTTGTTCCTTTCAGTCTAGTTCCTTTCCTCTTGCTGAAATTATTTACTTTCTTCCCCAAAACCCACATAAGATTTCTTATTCAGAAAGGGCTGTACATTACAGAAGTGAAACAGGCTCTACGTGGCTATCCAAAACCATGTTTTATGTCATCCGAAGTTCTGGAAAAGCTTTTGGGGATAGCAGGTTCCTCTGATATTTGACTTAAGGCAAAAAAATGAGTCCTTCTACACTCCAGAGTGATAGGGAGTCTACACCCCTGGGTCCTTTTAACTAGCCATTCCATTGGAGACATACAGAGCAGGGATGTGTAGCCTGGGATTCATGCACTCCTAGGGCTTCCAGCACTCGTCGAACTCCCTAAAATTGTATGCATGTGTATTCTTCCAAAGAGTAGATTCACAGCTTTCATCAGACTATAAGAAGGAGTTGTATCCCAATTATGAAACACTGACCTACATCCCTGGGATTTAGACAAATGCTAAGAGAAGGAATAACTGGAGACAGATGATGGTTCCCCACTCCATTTCCCCTTCATCAGTCAGAAATCTGCTCTTTGTAGGGGACATCTCAAAGGAATCTTTTTATTCTACTCCTTAACCCCCCACCCACACATATTTAGGGTGCTAGTACTCCTCATAGAGAGATAATGCTGAGTTGGACCCCAGGATCACTATTCTGAGCTTTCTTTTCTTTTTGTCTGAGATGGTGGTGACTCTTGGACCAGTTTCTTACTTAGCAACACGAACTCTATCTTTTTATCCTTTCTTTTGCACAGAAGGAAACTTGTTTTTCTGCCTATGCAGTAAGACCTATTTCACTCTGTCCTTCCAACATCTAAGGGAGATGTTTCAGAAATGTAGGGGTCCTTCTTTTATAGAATAAAATGCCCAGGTCCCCTTCTTTTGTTAGAGTCTCACATTCATGATCCACCTGTGCACATGACGCCCCTAGCCTTCTCTCCCAAACTCAGATCAAGATCCTGGTCTGCTTAGCTAAGGTCCTTTCAGAATAAGGAAAGCTAGTTGCATTGATTCTGCTTCCATTTCTACTGGTATATGGAGAGGGAGTTTCTAGCTAATGAAAAATTCTTCTGAGTGAAAAGCAGTTGTCCTATGTTTTCTTTGCCCAGTTTCTCTTAAAGTTAAGCCCATGTCCCAATAGCTTTCACCACAGTGACTTTTCTATTACACCTCAATTCACCTTACCTCCCTCTTAACTAGCAAGGAGTTAAAACCACAGCATCAGTCCTACCGTGAACACCAGCTCTTTCACATGTAAAAAGTCTAAGAGAAGGAGCCCAGCTCCAGCGTGAATTAGCCAGTGTGAACCCCCATAACTGTCTTTCTCCTTCTGTTAAGAAGATTCTGATTCTATTTATGTTTCACATTTGTCTTCTGTTTTTTGTTTTTTTACTTTTTTACCTCAGTTATAGAAGAACTTGGCATAGGCAAGAAGGGGTGTTCTCCATGGAAACCTGTTATCTTCTTTCTAGACTTAATTTTGAAAGCTTTTCACTTTGAAATTTTAAAATTATTATTACTCTCCTTCCATCTCAGTTGTTGCCTTTTATAAAACTTTTATGATAAAGCCAATCCTAGTGTCTGCTCGGTTTCTCCGGCCAAGATTATAGTATGTTCAACCATTACTATGTAGTTATCTTGTTTCCCCTCTTCTTGGCAACAGTATGATATTCCGTCTTTGAAGAAAACCCAGATATTCACAAGTGAAACCGTTTTTTTTCTAGAGATGGTACAGGCTTTCATTTGCTTTGTAAAAACCATAGGTCAGATTTCCTGCAAATGTTTGGCTTCCATGCCTGATACTTAAACCAGCAGATGAATTTGAACAATTGAGTTTGTTAATCACTTTGGGAAATGAGATTCAGATTTCTTTCTTACATGATAACCCACTTGGCAAAAAATTTTATCACTTTAGGTCATGTGATACAACTGTGTTCTAGTCATCAGAGATTTTTTCAGAAAAGCAAGCTTACTAGTTAGTGACTAGGGAAATTTCCTATGGGAAATTTTCACCTTTTGGAAAATGGTTCTTTAATCCAATCTTTTAAAATTAAAATGTTTAAAAAATTTAAAATATAACCATTGAGTAGAGACATGATGCATCTGCAACATATTTATGAGCAAAGGCTATTGTTTTTTTTAATTATTATTACTGTTTTCTTTAAAAAGACTGAAAGGAAATGAACCAAAGTGTTAATAACTATGATTATATTTGAATGACTGAGCTGTGGGTTATTAATTTTCTTGTTATTCCTCCAAATTTTCTTTGTTGTATATTGCTTTAAAGTGGAAAAAAATTAAATCATCCTCCTAAAATTTCTCTATTTAGCACTTGCCTTACAAAAATCAAAGCCCAATGTCTAAAGTAGGGGGTGGCAAACTATGGGCCACAGGCCAGTACCTATTTTTGTAAATAAAGTATTATTAGAACACAGTCACTCTTATTTGTTTATATATTGTCTGTGGTTGCTTTCAAGCTCTTAGCAGATTTGAGTAGTTACAACAGATCATATGGCCATGAGGCCTAACATCTTTATTATCTGATTCTTTAAGAAAAAGTTTGCTGACCCTCTGGTCTAGAACATTCAGTTTATGAAGCAGTTGGCAAGAGTATTTTTAGTTAGCAAATTTTTTTAAGCTTTGCTAATAACACCATGTTTTCTTTCCTTTGCAGCCTAAATTAACAATGGCAAAATGCAGACGAAATGTGGAGAATTTCCTCGAAGCCTGCAGAAAAATTGGTGTACCTCAGGTAATAAATTTATCATATTTTATGTTGCTAAATAAACTTGGGTATTATTTTCTTAAAATCTTTTAGAAATGCAGGTATCTAAAATCTTACAGGGTAGGTCTGAGCTAAGTTGATAATTACTAACATGATTTTGTGTTACTAGAGTCAGTCAATATATTTTGAGCAGTGTCCCATAATTATTTCCAAGGACCAAGCAAAGAAATCATATACACATGAATTTCAATATGTTGTAGTAAGTAATTAGTGCTAAGTAATCAAAAATAGTTATTCTGATATTTTCCTAAATACCCCCACTTGCTGATTGACTTGTGTACAACTTCATACACAGTAGAGTCTGTGCTTCAGAACAAGTGCATCTCAGACTAAAAATGCTTCAGTTGGCTTCAGTTTTTTAACACCTGCTTTAATGCTTTTAAAAAATGTTTATTTTGAAATAATTTTAGGCTTTGAGAAGTGTTGCAAAAATATCATAGAGAGATACTGTATACACTTCACCTAGGTTCCTGGACTGTTAACATCTAACATAAATGTAAACATAGTATGTCATCCAAACTAATAAACACATAGACAGTGCTGTTGACTAAATTGAAGACTTTATTCAGACTTTACCAGTTTTCCACTAAGCTCTTTGGAACTGAACACACAAGAGGCCATTTCTAGTCACTTGTCCTGCTCTTGAGATATTTTTGCTTCCAGATTCCTCAGTTAGAGCTTTATTGCCCTTTAATAGTACAAATAGTTAAACTTTTACCCTTTAAAAAACAATTATGTTAAGTGTGGCACTCTTAAAAAATATTATATATAGTGACATATATAGATAAATTTAAAGAAATAAAAACTGGTGCCATTTGATACTTTTTTCATTAACTACAACCATTACAGTTCTTGTCACCATATTTTGTCCAACGTTCAAGGAGAAAAACATGATACTTTTCTATCACCTTCTTAATTAGCTGTCAGAAACCCGGTATTGGCCCCTGGACTCAACAAGTCCACTATTTCTCTCGAAGTTAAGCCCTTGTCCCAAGGGCTTTTCCTGACAGTGACTCATTTTACCCAGTTCACCATTCCTCTCTTTAACTAACATGAGTTGAGAAGGTCAAAGCATCATTTGTCCAATGAACACCTTTCCCTTTCAGCTCTTTCACAAAGTGGAAGAGAGCCCAGCTCCACAGAGCAGCTGCACTAGCCAGTGTTAATTCCCATGAGTGTTTTTTCTCCTTTTATTAAGTAGATTGTGATTCTACTACTTATTTTTTACTTTTTTCTTTTGCATTTTTTTAAGCTGAGTTATAAAATAACTGAAATTCACATTTGGTGGTAGTTAGCAAGGATCTTTTTTGTTCCTGTGGACAAATTCAAAGCAAATGTATTGCCTTTATATCATATTGTTTTCTGAAGGCTCATCATCTCTTTTAGAACTAACCATTTTTAAACATATTGAGAGCATTAATAAGGTTTCTAGATAAATAGCATACATTTCTCCATATTAACAGGCAGGTTCTAATATTCACATGTACACTCTAACATTCAGTGTTTCCCTTATACCTCCTTGAGATGATCCTACCTAACCCTCACAAGCATGCCCAGTACCTGCCCCAGTTCCATAGCACAGTGTCTTTGAACAAGAGAATGTGGCACGGGTTGGTGCAGGGAATGGGACCAAAGGAAAAATATGAGTGATTAAAAAGAGGCACCACATACCTAGAGAGAAGAGTGCTGAAAACGGTCCCACACGGCAAGACGTGCTGGCACACTTAGCCTATGTCAGACCTGTAAAGGACTTACAGTCATTGTACATGTACTCTGGGCTCTACAGAACTGTCATCTGTCTCAGATTTAAAGTCTATACACTGAAATTCTTTTAGAATATAACCGCCATCAGTCAACAAAATCAAAAACAGTGTGCCTTTTAAAGCATGCATTTTATTCCACCATTTGCCAAGCAATGGTTAACAGTATTTATTTGAAGGCAGGAGATAGAAAAAATACAATTTTAAAAGACTGGGTACTAAAAAAAAAAAAGACTGGGTATTTTTCCAGGGTGGTTTTAGACTGGAGTTCTTGACACATCCTCCTTCCCCTCCCTTTCCCCCTACCAAAAAGAGTAAATGGACATTCCACATGGGCCACCTCTTCCTTCTCCACTCCTGCCTTCCACCCAAGTCTCACCACCACCATCACTAACACTTTTAGATGGGTTCCTGTTATGCTGCTACTTCTGCTAAAACAGTTGATCATTTGCCTAAAACAAAATGAAGGAAAATGAATAAATACAAACTCGTAGGTTTAAACTAGCATATTCTCAGGTCCCTCTGCCATGGGAGGGAAGAAGAAACCTATACCTCTTCTTCTTCCTTTGTTCTCCCTACTTCTGGGCATTATGACCTTTGCCTAAACATGACCACCTGCTATGTTTCACCTGTAAATAAAATCAGGGATGTAATAATGATCACTTTTGAAAACAAATAACATAAAACTTAATATTGAAAAATTTGTCAGCTCTCCTGTCCAGAAAGCATGTATAAAGATGAATGATTTCCCTTCTCAGTATAACTTTTTAAATGTCTACAAGTTAAATTATGAATGAAACACTGAAGAATAAAGTGATTGTAGTTAAAAACCTCCAATAAGGTTGGGCATATGGATAGTCTCTTTATTATTATGCTTTTATTAAATATATGTTACAGTCAAAAAACTATAGTTGGTGATAAAAACTTCTGAGTCCAATATCTTATGTTCTGGAGTTATTATATGTTATGTGTGAAAGAATATTTTCCTGTTATCAAGTCCAGTAATGCTTTTATTTATTTAATTTCTTAATCTGTGAACTGGAGGGTTTGGATGCTCTCTAAGGCCCATTACAACTCTAGATTTATTTTGTACAATTAGTAAACAAGACTTGGTTAAGATGGACTTGACTTGATTTTTAGAGGAACACCAAGTCATTCAGTACACCTGACTTCCAGGTAATAAATTTCCCCTGATTATTATGCTTTCTTCATTCTTTGAACCTTCTTGACTCACCTGGCTTTCTCCAAAAACTTCCCTCTTCTCAGCCCACCCCCAGGTTTTGTCCTTGCTTTCTGGCCTATTTTTTGTTAATAGAGAAGAATGAGTCGAGAAAGAGGTTGCCTCACCCACTCAGCCACTCTCAGGCCTCACATAACCCTAAGTCAGCATCCACCTCTGTTCATTTTATCCTGAATGTTCATACTAATCACCAACAATTTTATTCTGCTATTTAGTAGTAAAATCAAGCTGAGAACATAGAGGATTCTTTGTGGGTTTGTTTTTCAGCATTTTGATTCATCATAATAAAAAATGTGATGGGATATGTTTCTTTGAATATGACTGAGATGATCATATTGAATTCTATACGCAAATCTGTGTTTCTGATCCACTGACTTTATTTTTCTGTTTTCCTTTCCTGCTCACACTTTGGACAGGACAATCTTTGTTCCCCTTCTGACATCCTTCAGCTAAACCTCAGCGTAAAAAGAACTGTTGAAACACTACTTTCTCTTGGGGCACATTCAGAAGAATCCAGTTTTGTCTCTCTATCTATCCAGCTTTTGGGTTTTGTGGCATTTTATTGTACTTTAATGTTAACTCTCTGTATGCTTTATTACTGGATCTTCCCCCTCTAGCCGAAAGTGCATTCCAGTGATTTTTCCACCTCATTCCTGTGCTTGGTAAAGGAGGTTTGTTTCTCATTCAAAAGTATTTACATATGTGCTTTTTTTTAATTGGTTAGCCATCAAAGAGCTAACCAATAAAGTAGATAACTTCTTTCCTCATGTGTCCAGATGAGCAGCTCATCACATTAGGAAGCATTTATGATTGCTAACAAAGAGCAGAAAGACCAGTATATTTTCTTCTGCTCATTTGTCCATTCTCCTGGCCTATATGTGGCCTTGTTTCTCTTATCATAAATGCTGAGCAGGGTCTACTAATACAGTCCTGAGCCTGTTGTTAGAATATGACTTAGGACTTTATTTCCAAATGACATAATAAAATTTCCATCTGGTCTTCTTTCCATGCCTCAGTACAACTTAAGTGTTGAAATTGTGAGAAGTATTAAAATTACGAGTTGCTGAACTTTTCAACAGCTGTTCATGAGGAAACAGTTGAACCCCTTCTGTTCTGGGGAGCACCTGGTCACTTAGATCTCTGCATTGAGCTATGCCCTGAAATCCTGAAATCTGTCTTTATTGGTAGGCACAAGTCCACCTAATAAGCATCTGCTCTCTGGACATCTGGAAGGCACTGGCCATTTAATCGTAATAATTTTAATTTGATCAGAATGTTCAGTCCAAAGATAATGTAGGTTCCCTAGATTGCTATTCTGAGCCCATTGTGTACATTGGAAACAGTACACAAGCAAAACAAGCAAATTATCTGGAGCTGACCTTTCAGGGGTAGGCACCTGTCTGCACATTTATTATGTTTGTTATCTTTAACTTCACTTCTAGAATCCTATTTAGAATTTAAAAATTGGAATTTATGTAATTTCCAATATATTTGAACCATCTTAATAGGTGAACTTATATTTGATAGACTGTTGAGGAGATTTTATCTGAACAGTAGCAGGTAAAGAATTAGGCAGCAATCTCTGTTCTGTACCCAAGGCGATGAAAGCCTCTTTCAGAATGCTTAGTATATTAGCTGCTAGCCTTAATGCTTGAAAGTACTTTATAATTGCATTCAGATTCTGGTTCTCATAAATAGTGTTTCTGAACATTCAGGAATCTCTGAACTCTGTTAAGAAAATTGGACAACTGAACTCATGTATGAAGGAAGATTGTGAGGAACCATATCATGTTGTAGAAGTCAATCTGAGGATCTGATTGCTTTGGTTTTCTTTCATATTAAATGGGAAAATTATTTAACACATTAAAAACCTTTTATTTTTAATGCTGAAACATTGAACACTGTGTTGAAAACAGCAGTAGTGCCTTTTGGAGTTGGGGGGAGGTTTTTTTTTGTTTTTAAGATGTCTCTGAGTCACAGATCATTCAGTTTTGTGAAGTTCTGTCCCTTTAAAAAAAAACATGGTGTTTTATATGGTTTTGGGGGAGTAATGGTGCATTCTCTTCAGAACAGAGTTCGCTCTAAGCCAGCTAGAAGGTAAATGTGCATCTGGAAAGCATAAGCCACTGAGGGAATGTGTAAGCCACGGGCTTACAGGTCGCAGGGGACCCCTGGAAACAGAGATCAAGGAATCGGCCTCAGAGGAAATATGTCTCCCTCCAGAGTAAAACACCCTGCAGGTTCATTTTAAGTGTAGTTAATCTGTACTTCAGTTGTACTCAGAAGATTTATACAAAGTTGCTAGTTTCTTAAGATCAAAAGATTCCATTTACCTTGTTTTATCAAGGTAAGTATTAAATAAAAAGAAAGTGATTAAGAAGCACAAGTACCAATAACGGTTCATAAAACATACTTGTTATATTTTTTATTGCAACTGGTTTTGTAAAACTTCCTAATAACATATTAAGTGCCAATGAAAAGCTGAGAAAAATCCAGTTATCTTCTTTAATAAGTATATATAGTCTTTTTCAGTAGAACCAGAATTCCACTCTCATTCCTTTAAGAGTAACCTCTTCTTTCTTTCATCTAATCAATGATAGATGTTATTCTTAAGATATGCCTTTTTGTCTTACAAGAAAGGATTAACCAAACACATTAATGAGGTAATAAACAAGATAGAAGCAATCTAACTTGCTTAAGCAAACATGTAAATGCTTTTCAAATATATGTTAATGTGTTCCTGACTAAGCTCACATCATAGTTCTCCAGCATAATTTAATCCATTAAATACCAGGATATAAAATACTTTCTCAAATATGATTTCTTTATTTAAGTTCTGTAATTCAAGTTTTTAAGTAATTCAAACTGGGCCTTCCGTGAATATCCAGTGTAGGGGACATTTTCTCAAATACTTCTAAATCTCAAGGATATACTTCAGTTTCTTCCCGTGATCCCTGCCTGGTCTGAGAACCCTGATTTTCATAGTCAGGACTATAACGTAGAGAGCATTCCTCTCTCATGCAGTCTGAGTTAAGGCATGAAACTATCTTGCATTCCTATGGTTTGTAATTTCCAAAGCACTTTCTCCTACAATGTTATATCTTTAGGCTTCAGCCATCCAGTAACTTGGAACTGTTTTTCTATTTTCACCTGCCTCATTTTACTGATCTGCATTGCTCTTTTATTTATCAGGGATGAAGTATGCTGCTTTTACTCCATAGTAGTATGTTTATCTTCTGTTGTATGTAAAAGTGTATGTAACTTGTCCATTTTCTAATATTCAAAATGATCTGGATGTACTTTTAGATGTATTAATTTAAAAAAAAGTGACGAGTGTCAGGTACCATCTCTGTGTAACTCATTAACAGAGGTCAGATTCTCAGGTACTGACTTCTCGTATCTCAGTTCATTATTATGAGGGAGAGAAGAGATGCTTATTTTTTCTTTTCAGTTCTGTGATGTTCATCCTCTTTTCTCTTCTGTTTGTTTTTATGTTACATTGTCCCATTTCAGGAGCAATTATGTTTGCCTCTCCACATTTTAGAAGAGAAAGGTTTGAGCCAGGTTGCGCTGACGGTCCAGGCTCTCCTGGAACTTGCCCCACCCAAGCAGCAGCAGCACCAGTTATCTGCTGTGTAAGGACTCCCAGCACCGTGGGCGTTGGCCTGGCCAAAACGAAACAGGACAGCGTGACTGCTGCTGTGAGCCGTCTGCTTAACAAAGCGCTTATGTGTTCTTGAAAGGGACTGTTTCCATGATTCCTAACAGGAATATTTTGCTTCATTTCTCCATTTTAGGGGAGGTTATATCCATTTGCATTGAATTGTTTATGAAGACACGGTTGGTTTTCACAAATGAAACTTAATTCTGTCATTATTGAGAACCCAACACTGAAGCCTCACCTGGCTGTGCTTTTCTAGAGAGTAGAGGCTCTTTCACATACTGAAGACCATCTTCTCAGAAGGATATTGTCTCTCTTGAAGGCACAGCCATGCTGTTATCTTTCCCTGTTTCCAAGCCTCTGGAATCCACTAGTTTCTAAATGTGGTTGTTCATTAGAATCTCCTGGAGAATTTGTTAAAGTACAGATTCTCACTCGGTTGGTCTAGAGTGAGGCCTGGGTATCTGCATTTCAACAAACATTCCAGGTGTTTCATGTAGGGA